GCGCTATGTGCTCAATAAGCACAGGTACAACCATCGTACCTCCAGTGTGTCAGAAATGTTGGACCACCTAAAGCTGCGCCCTCTAGCAGATAGACGTAGAGATGCTCGTCTGACCATGCTTCATAACATTGTAAAGCAGAAAGTCGCTATCGTAAAATCAGACAGATTAATCCCTACAATTAGAAAATCCCGAACAAACCACCAGTTTTCGTATCAAATACCCCACTCAAAAACCGCGACCAGAAAGGCATCATTCTTCCCTCGAACTATACCCGAGTGGAATAAACTCCCACCTGACATTATTTCGAGCCCCACAACGGAATTATTCAAATCAGCCCTCTACCGTCACCTTTCAAAACGCAAATTAGACCATCTCGTATCTTTTAAAAACATTCTCTTTCCATGCTTCACTCCTCGTCTGACATTTTATCTTCAAATTGTTGAAGTTGGTCAGTACCATTTTGAAGTAGAATTAACATCTCTACTATCTGTAACAGTACGACTGTTGTGGGGTATATATGACATATTATCTCTACTATCTGTTACAGTACGTCTGTTGTGGAGTATTTATTATATATCATCTCTGCTATCTGTTACAGTACGACTGTTGTGGGGTATATATGACATATTATCTCTGCTATCTGTTACTGTACGACTGATGTGGGGTATATATGACATATTATCTCTGCTATCTGTAACAGTACGACTGTTGTGGGGTATATATGACATATTATCTCTGCTATCTGTTACAGTACGACTGTTGTGGGGTATATATGACATATTATCTCTGCTATCTGTTACAGTACGACTGTTGTGGGGTATATATGACATATTATCTCTGCTATCTGTTACAGTACGACTGTTGTGGGGTATATATGACATATTATCTCTGCTATCTGTTACTGTACGACTGATGTGGGGTATATATGACATATTATCTCTGCTATCTGTAACAGTACGACTGTTGTGGGGTATATATGACATATTATCTCTGCTATCTGTTACAGTACGACTGTTGTGGGTTATATATGACATATTATCTCTTCTATCTGTTACTGTACGACTGTTGTGGGGTATATATGACATATTATCTCTGCTATCTGTTACTGTACGACTGTTGTGAGGTATATATGACATATTATCTCTGCTATCTGTTACAGTACGACTGTTGTGGGGTATATATGACATGTTATCTCTGCTATCTGTTACTGTACGACTGTTGTGGGGTATATATGACATATTATCTATACTATCTGTTACAGTCATCTGTTGTGGGGTATAAATAATATATTGTATCTACTATCTGTTAAAGTATGACTGTTGTGAGGTATATATGACATTTTTATCTCTACTATCTGTTACAGTACGTCTGTTTTGGGGTATATATCACATATTATCTCTGCTATCTGTTACAGTACGACTGTTGTGGGGTATATATGATGTATTGTCTCTGCTATCTGTTACAGTACGACTGTTGTGGGGTATATATGATGTATAATCTCTACTATCTGTTACAGTCATCTGTTGTGGGGTATACATGATATATCATCTGTGCTATCTGCTACAGTACGACTGTTGTGGGGTATAAATGATGTATTATCTCTACTATCTGTTACAGTACGACTGTTGCGTTTTTTTTTATTATACATTATCTCTACTATCTGTTACAGTACGACTGTTGTGGGGTATATATGACATATTATCTCTTCTATCTGTTACAGTACGACTGGTGTGGGGTATATATGACATATTATCTCTGCTATCTGTTACAGTGCGACTGTTGTGGGTTATATATGACATATTATTTCTGCTCTCTGTTACAGTACGACTGTTGTGGGGTATATATGACATATTATCTCTACTATCTGTTACAGTACGACTGCTGCGGGGTATACGGATGGACACAGTATGAGACACTGACAGAGAATACCCAGAGACCAATTAAGCTCGCGGGAACGTTTATCTGCTGTGAGCTGGATAATTTAAAGTTATATCTCAACGGGTCCTGTTGGGCTGGTGGTGTCCATACCTCAGACAAAAACGTAAGTTTGTATATTTATGTCTTAAATGGTAAGTATATATGTTAATGTAACAAAATTGTAATTTTATCGGTTAAGTCAGATACATATAAAACGTCTCTGGTTAATGTAACAAAATGGTTAGTTTATATGCTAATGTCACAAAATGGTTAGTTTATACGTTAATGTAATAAAATGGTAGGTTCATACGTTAATGTAATAAAATGGTAGGTTCATACGTAAATGTAACGAAAGTCTTTAATTATGTTAATATAACAAAATGGTAAGTTTGAATGTGAACATATATGTCTAAGAGGCAGCCCTGGGTTGAATACATGTAAATGTGTATTTATTACTAGTCCTGAGTGGAATATACAGTACATAATGTATGTAATGTGTGCAAAAGTATATACAGTGAATTACAGCATAAATACCACCGTCTGTCTATTCCGTCTTTTCGTATTGCAGAGTTATCTGCTCTTGTGTGCAGGTTTTGATTGTTACGTAATTTGTTTGTGAGAGTAACGTCATCAATTTTGAGAAAACGACGTAATTTTGAACAAACCAATGACGTAACAATCAATACCTGCTCACAAGAGAAGATAACTCTGCAATACGCAAAGACGGAATAACTATCATTAGGATAATAATAATACAAAAATGTTTCTTATTATTCTTGTTTTCTGTGTAGGACTGTTATGATGCCATTGTTGAGGCCATTCTGTCCTCGACCGTTGTACAACTGATACCCTTGATTTATATCGCCCAGGTAAGAATTGGAGAATTCTGAGTCTTCTATAATTCTACTGGCTCCAGTTTGCAAACTGTTTCCCCGAAAAGTAAATATGTTGAGTTTATTTCCTAGAATAATGGAACGATCGAATCACGATATTCGTTTTAGTCTCCCTTCTAATTGATCTTTCATATTAAATATGTCATCATTATTAATAAGTAATATTTGCTTTTTTTCGTAACGATCTTATTGAAACTAATGTTATTATCACCCTGTACCCATATCAATGCTTATCAATGATTTCAAGCACTTATTTATTTAACTTGAGTATGCAAATACTAAGCTAGCATATCTTTTGTAACTTTTTTTAATCACTCCGATATTCGTACGGTTTAGAATGACGCCTTCTACACGAACAAAATTATTGTCCTAAGAACGATTTTGCTTCTAATCTTCAAAATAACTAGCCAGCAAACAGAGAAACATAACAATATAATGAATTTTGTATCTAGTAAACCTTGTGCATGGTAAATAGTATAGTAAGTACTGTGTATATTATTATAGATAATGTGTTGTGTATGTTTACTATCACAATTATAGCGATACATTTGGACGTGTGATCATTGACAGGGTATTTTGAAAAGAACATATTTTATACAGCCAGCTTGAATTATTTTCATCTAGCTATAAATTTGTTCCATTTTCTGGGAAAATATTTATAAAATGAAAACGACTAACGTTTTTGAAGAAACATCGTAATAAGTTTTTATTGATTTTTTTTCCTAATCTACCAAAACAATGACACGTGTTGAGGTGGATATGTTTGTATAGATGAAGGTAACTCCTTGTGACCGGAGGTCTCTGTTCAGAGTACTATTAAGACTTACCCAATACATTACATCAACAGATCAAAGCTTGCTTTAGAAAATCATTCTTGTGTTTCTTATATTTCAGATTGTTATGATCCTTTGCGCCATCTTGATTATCCTTGACAACAAGTATACGGTTACTAAGGTAGAACCGGAAGATGATAACTACCCCGAGAAACCAAACGCGCTGAATCCGAGAAAGGGAAATTGAGTGACTGAACACTAGTTATCGCCTTAATATCAACATAGTTTGATTGAGGGAGTTGTGTAATTCATCGTTTAATGATTTGATGAGTTGAGTTATTGGTGATTGGTTGAAGATATCAAGACGCCCTCATCATGTTGAATATACGAAATCAACATCATAAACGGACAACCACATTGGAGAATAAATTAATGAGTTATTAATGAATCACCCACGGGTTTAAGGTGTGTATAACACCGATTGGTGGCTAATTGGAATGTTCAGTGTTCTGGAGACATATTATTTTTAATTTACATTTCCACTACAAGTTCCTCTATAAACAGAATTCCGTCAGCGTTATTTTGAAGCTTCTTCTTTCGTCTCGATTAACATGAGAGCACCTTAGAATCAAACATTTTGGTGACGTTAGAATGTACCAGGAACCCTGTCAACGCTGTCGACACAGACTCACTAATATCGAAATATAAAGGAGTATCTTTATTTAGGTCAATAATAACTAAATATTTAAAATGTTAATACAAAGTTTGAACGGCATTTTCCCAATGTCTCATGCCGGTATGAAATTCAAAAAACAATGTCGTCTAATCCTTAGAACTATGTTTGTCATTATGCAGAAAATAAATATAAGATAATTTTATCAGTTCATAGATCGGTTATGATCATGTTAATTGAGTTTCAGGCAGTAAATATAAACGCAACGGCCGTAAATATATTTACTTGCTACAGGCAATTACTCAACTAACTGTAGTGTCATCTGTAACAAATAGACATGGCATGGTTTAGGATCACCTCTCACAACAACGATTTCAGACTTAAAGATGTAATTTTCTGTCAGTAAATATATTTCACAGCATGATAAATTCGTTATATATATATGCTTTACTTAACATACGTAACATGGTTTCCTATAACCTGCACAGATTTCATATTTCCTTCGAGATATGCAACCAAGATAAACTCTATGTAGTTAATATAATAGGTTTCGGAGTTTTATGAGATCCGATACCATAGGAAAAATGTTTTGTTGGACTTCAGGCTGACATCAATTAAACTAAATGTTTCTTGCATTAAAACGAATAACATTTATTTACCAATTTAATTGCATTCAACAACCTCCTGTTTCAAGACATGATACTTGTTATAGTTGATGTATTTAACCTCGTTATAACTTCTGTTATGTATGAATCTAAATGTGTAAAATAAATATATTAAACATCATATTTAGTGGTCGTTGTTTGTTGAATGAACATCCTCAATACATGTTAAGGGTAAAAACGCTATCAAATCTGAACTAGATTCTGATGTCAAAGTGTTATTTATCAAATATGAACGACACTTGGTAAGAACAGTTTTTACAATGACCTAATGGTATTGTTGTTTACTTATTTTCCCATTTTCCAATTCAAATCAGATGAAAAGGAATTCAAATAAGACCTTTTTTATTTAATTGTCAATTTTTGAATATATTTAGTTAAAGACTTCAAAAATGAAGTTTAAATGATTGTTTTAAATTTAAGGTATTTCGAATATAGTTATCATATCATGTCCAGCATCTGAAGCAGGTATTGAGATGTACTATAGATGAGGAATCTATTTTCCAATATAAGTTAGGGTAGAGCTTGTAGTTTATGAAAACTATAGCTAAACAAACAAACAAAAATTGAAAAATGAAAAATATACTGAACCAAGGAATCAAGGTAATATTCAGCATCTGAAACAATTCAGATTCAATGGATCCTGCACTAATACGTTTGGAAAACACAAAACAAGTCGCCAAAAACTACATTGATAAGGAAACTGACAAAGTTGCTAGACTGTACAAGCAAGGACCTACACAACAGACAGCTGATGTTAGAATAAGATGTTGTGCCAGGACTTACATTCTTTGAGATATAACACACAGTTAAACATCAAATAAGAGTCACTGGATTAGGAATTGTAGGCCCATTCCGTATCTGTTGCATGAAGCAAATATTAAACTATAGTCCTCATTTGGTTGTTTTAGCACTTATACCGTGCTGATTTTAACAGCTTTGTTTTGAAATTTTGTTATTTGAAATGTAATGCTAATATACAAATAATAAAAGAAGAAGATATTTTATCAAGTGTTATGTAAACATCACAATCACTACAAAATGAATACAGAATTATTTTAATTTTCAATCTTTTATTTCCTATCTTTAATCTTTTGTGATATCTTATAAAACATGATCAGCTTCCGGCTACACAACTTTAGATATAATAGTTATACACAGGTGAAATACAGGTAGATACTGACAAAACAAACTATAATCCCTTTTACACCCCACCTTTTTTCAAAGTGGAGGAATCAAAACAAGCCTATGAGGGGAAGCTGTTTTGTTTTCATACATTTGACAATTTAACACGGTAGTTCGAGCATATTTGCATCTTATATAATTGCCAACATAACAGGGAAATATTTTAGGTACAGTGTACACTTACCAATACTGATGTGGATATCTCTTAAGTTGGGTATATGTAATATAAAAAGAAATTTTCAAAAAATTGATGAAGTTCATTATTAAAAACATTTGTTGATAAAAACAAAAGTATTATGCTGCTATACTAATAAGACGAAGATTAAAAGTATATATTGAAATTATTTGATTTTATATAGTCTTTTTTATTAGACAGGAGCATTTAATTATAATTAAGACGCTTCAAATAAAGAAAACCCGTTGAGGAAGAAAAGTAAAACCTGCCTATAACAAATCGCACCGTTTGTATCTGTGGTCTTTGTTACCAAACGTTGTGCATTGTGTATCAGGGTATGTTTATCGTGGTTTCATTGTCTTCGTCTCGGCTATTGTCATTCTGTTCACTAGTTAAATCTCTGGTATATATCCCAGTGTATGTAGAGTCCAAAATCTTTTAGTGACGTGCCATTGTCTTTGTCTCGAGTCAGAAATCACTGAAGCGTTTGATACCTATTCAACATTGTCTTTTCAGCAGATAACGGTTTATTTATATACGTTTATATGAAGACGCCATCTTTGTTTTGTGCGCCATTACATTTTGGATTCTATGTCAATATTTGACACATTATTTTGGATTAATTTTAACACATTTTAGAGTGAGTATTTTTAAATCACACTTCCCCCGCACAATACCACTATTTATACATGTTAATGCCATCCACGTTACTTCTTTAACATATCAATTATTGTTATATGTTATTCCAGTTACACTTTGTCGATTATATTTATTAAAATTCGACTACAATAGTTAATGCTACAAGATGTAGCAAGTCTAGAAATCGTATAGAAATGGAAGATGATGTGCAAACTGTGTGGTGGTGACGTTGCAGGAAAGGTGAGCGAAGAGGTGAAATTGCATGTTAGGAATAAATATTGAGACGACAGATTGACAATAGTGGTGGGGATGACAGGGGAAGGAGGTGTGGTGAGGATTATGACGACAGGCGGTTGTGGTAAGGATTGTGAAGGAAGAGATTGTGAGGGAAGAGGTTGTGGTAAGGATTGTTAGGAGATATGTTGCGGTACAGATGATGAGAGAAGGAGATTGATTAAGGGATAATGAGGAAAGAAGGGTCTTGGTGGAGATGGTATGAGTTAAGGAGGTTGTAGTGTGGATGGTAAGGGGTCAGGATTATGACGGGGGTGGTAAGGGATGGAGGTTGTGGTAAGGGATGGAGGTTGTGGTAGGGATGGTGGGAATGAGTTTGTGGGGGGATGATGAGGGAGAGAGGTTGTGGTAAGGATTGTGAGTGAAGAAGTTGTGGTAAGGATTGTGAGTGAAGAAGTTGTGGTAAGGATGGTGAGGGAAGAGGTTGTGGTAAGGATGGTGAGGGAAGAATGTTGTGGTAAAGATTGGGAGGGAAGGAGGTCGTGGTAAGGATTATGAGAGGATGAAGTGGTGGAAGGGATTGTAAGGAAAGAAGTTGTGGTAAGGATTGTGAGGGAAGAGGTTGTGGTAAGGATGGTGAGGGAAGAGGTTGTAGTAGGAATGGTAAGGGGAGGAGGTCGTGATAAGGATTATGAAAGAGGGGGAGGTTGTCGTAAGGATTGTGACGGAAGAGGTTAAGGTAAGGATGGGGAGGGAGGAAGGTTGTAGTTGGGATGGTGAGGGAAGGCGGTTATTGGGATTTGAGGGATGAAAATTGTCGTGGAGATAATGAGGGAAGGAAGTTGTGGTGGAGATGGTCAGGGAAGAAGTTTGTATTTGGATAGACTATGATTGTTGTTGTGATAGGGTATGATGGGACCAAGGTTGTCGCGGGATTGTTACTGAAGGAGGGTATGGTGGGGATGGTTAGAGGAGGTGGTTGTGGAGAGAAGGATGAGAGTTGTGGTGGGGAAAGAGAGGGAAGAAGGTTACTGTGGGGGTGGTGAGAGAAAGAGTTTTTGGTTGGTATGGAGAATGTAGGAGGGGTGGAGTGGATGATGAGGGTTGCAGTTTGTGGTAGGGATGATGGGGGATAGAGGTTGTGGTGGGGATGGTGAGGGTAAGAGTTTGTGGTAGGGATGGTGAAGGATGGAGGTTGTGGTGGGGATGGTGAGGGGAAGAGTTTGTCGTAGGGAAGGTGAGGGATGGAGGTCGTGAAGGGGATGGTGAGGGAAGGAGGATGTGTTGAGGATGGTGAGGGATCGATGTTGTGGTAAGGATAGTGAGGGATGGAGGTTGTGGTTGGGGATGGTGAGGGATGGATGTTGTGGATGGTTATGGAAGAAGGTTGTTGTCGGGATTGTGACTAAAGGAAGTTATGGTGGGGATGGTTAGAGAAGGTTGTTGTGAAGGGGAGGATGAGAATTGTGGTGGGGATGGTGATAGAAGAAGGTTACGGTGGGGATATTGAAAGAAGGAGGTTGTGGTGGTGAGGGTAACAGACGGAGATTGTGGTTGAGATGATTGGTGTAAGGTTGGTGATCTGATGCAAGAAAAAGGTCAGGGTTCGGAGAAGGACTGAGGATGTTATTTCAGTTAGATAAGATAGATAAAATGCTGGAGGGAGTGGAGGCTTAAAAGTGCAAAATGTTATTTTGTAGCCTATAAAACAATCCGGCATTGTATTTTATACTGATCGCCTGTTAAATGTTTTATTTTGCTGTATAACATGACGGAGAAATCTTATTTTGACAAAGCTATCAGACGTAAGGGCCACCTTGACCTGGACTGACAATGGGATGCATAGGATGCTGTGGAGGTCTAGGACGATGCTGTATCGTCCTTATAAACATGATACTAATCGTAAGTTTTAATAAAATTAGTTCAGTTACATAGCACTCATATAACTTAATTCAGAGAGAACATAAACCGATTAGTTGGAATCATTATTAGCTCACTTCGGGCCAAGTGAGCTTATGCCATGGTGCAGCGTCCGTCGTCCGTCCGTCCGGCGTCAATATGTTACTTTAAACAACTTCTTCTTAATAACCAAAAGGCCTAGGGTGAGGATATTTGGCTAGAAGCAAACAAGGATGAAGGGCTACCAAGTTTGTTCAAATAAATGGCCTTCACCTATTTTCAAGGTCACAGGGGTCAAATATGTTTAACACTTAAACAACTTCTTCTCAATAACCAAAATGCCCAGAGTGATGATTTTTGGCTAGTAACATGCTGGGATGAAGGGCTACCAAGTTTGTTCAAATGAATGACCTTGACTTATATTCAAGGTCACAGGGGTCAAATATATTAAAAACCTTTAAACAACTTCTGAATAACTAAGAGGCCTAGGGTTAAGGTATTTGGACAGTAGCATGCTGGGATGAAGGGCTACCTAGTTTGTTCAAATGAATGACCTTCGTCCATTTTCAAGGTCACATGGGTCAATTGTCTTAACAAATATTTATACAACTTCTTCTGAATAACTAAGGAGCCTAGGATGATGATATTTGGCCAGTAACATGCCAGGATGAAGGGCTACCAATTTTGTCAAAATGAATGATCTTCGCCCATATTCAAGGTCACAGTGGTCAATATATGTTTAAATCTTTAAAGGACTTGTTCTGTATAACCAATAGGTCCAGGGTTATGATATTTTGCCAAAAGCATGCTGGGTTGGAAGACTTTAAACTCTGTTCAATATAATGTCCTTGTTCGACATTCAAGGTCACAGGCGTCATATGTTTAAATCTTTTAATAGGTTCTTTTAAATCAAACACTGGCATTCTGCCTGTAGCTGTATTTTAGTCCACTTTTAAGATAACAAGTGTGAGATTAATACCAGGTGAGCGATTCAGGCCCATTGGGCCTCTTGTTTTTATTCATAATCGTACAGTGAAATCTGTTCTTACCTGTGAAATATTCAACGCATTTTGTTAATATACGGACAGTTTTGTTTTTTTGTTTATAACTTTTGATTTATGTACCATATCACACATAATCCTTCATGAAATATAACCATAAAGATCGTTTTGTTTGAATCTATTGTCTATGATTAATGTGCTATTGTGATGTAGTTAATTACATTTAGACATGCACTTTAAACAAACAGAATTTCAAGGTTTTGTTTACAACTATTTAACATACCTTACAAGTTTACTTTTTTATTATTAGTAGTATTTATTCTTTAAAACGTATTTTCGTTTTTTTCGAATTATTTAGTACTCAGTAACTCTTTTACTGCTCCTGATACAGTAGATGGGTGCCACGGTCAAATAGTGAGTTGCTTAAAGTTTCCCCAAAAGTCTTCCAAAAATGTTGACAAAAAGATATTTTTTATTAATTAATCACAGGAATAAGAAATTGGGCTTGAGCTCAGAAATTGGGCGTGAGCACAGAAATTGGGTTTGAGCACAGAAATTGGGCTTGAGTATGATCAGTTTCATGAATATGGTATCTACAGATGATACATCAATAGAAATATGTTTCCCCTAGTCGACTTAATTTTGGTTTATACAATTTGACGAAATAGGCTATTGAGGGAATAGTTATAATACATGTATGTCCTGGTTATTAGGTAATTAAAACAAAAGAAAATCCATACTATGTTCATAATTGGTACAGCTTACAGTCCAGAACACTTACTTTAGTCTAACAATTTGGCTACTAAGCAATCTAGAGTCATCTTAAGTCATGCTTTTGAAAATCATAAAATTTGTTAATTAAGGGGAGTGTAAACATGGACTTGTTAATGTTACAAATTAGCACGGTCTTCTGGACGTAATAAATTAAGTTACGGTATGGAAAGGTATAAAGGGCTAAACTGATGGATAGCCATTAGGTCCAATTACTCGATAATATAATTTTATTTGATTCAGTTAAGTTCATTGAACATTCAGTGGACATTACTGTTGCGTTGCTTGTATTAACCATCTGTGCTTATTTAACTAACCTATTAATGCACTAATTAAACTTACTAGAAAAGGGATTGAGTCACTTAATAATATATCTTTTTTGCATTCATAATTGGATCGTCCGTCTTAATTATTGTTTCAATGTGGCTTATGGGTTACAAGTGTTTTATATCAAACAGATAATTTATAATTCCTTATAACAAACCAATGTAGACTCCAGAACTTCGCGAAATGAACGAACAAGAGATAGGTTGCACAAAATTGCAAATTCAATCATCAATATTTTAGATATTCAATCAAACTACATTAAAATATATTGCTTAACACAAAAAAAAACACTTCGCCGGTGATTCAAAGCTTAAGTGTTCATTTTTGTGCCGTGTAAATGTACACGTTAATCTTATCCTAAAGAATATATTTTTAAGAGATCTACCTGTGACATGCATAAGCGCTTAAACCATTTATATCACTTCAGAATATTCGTCTATTTTAATCCATTTTTATACTTGACCGACATACAGGTGGTGTTCGCCCTGATATTGCTGCTCTTTACTGTCGTGTGGATCTATCCTGATTTGCCGTTAGTACTGGATATGTACGAGGGCGACGTGAAGTCAGAGATGCAAACAAGTACTGTTATCAAGGTTGAGGATGACTGGCACATCACAAAGTTCAGTCTGTACGCCACGTTTTTGTATCTGGTGTGGGCCGTGGCTGGGGTAGGACTCCTGCTCAGTATCTGTGGCTGTGTAGCATCTTGCTGTAAATACAAAGGATGCATCTGCGCTGTAAGTAGATGGTGTTGCATGCTGTACATACTTTGGGGCCCTTTCGGGAAGAAAAGTTAAATTGATATATGGTAGTGGAAGTATATAGTCAAGTTATTGGCAAAAAAGGCAAACGGACTCTTTTGTAGGGTTTCATTTTTAACAATAATTGGTAAATTTGTGTTAAACCTGTTAATCGAATCAAAACGAAAGTAATGACTGGTTTTTCCTTTCGGAACAGGACATAGATGTTCTGTTAAATATTAAGGGATGAGTTTCGGACAATTATAAAAGACCCCGCAACAACCTAGTAAATATGTCATCCTCTTAATCAGTGTTGAAGAATATGCTATTGTGAAAAGTCAAAATGTTCTACTTACTAATTTTTAAGCCATAACTTATTTTAAAGAGGAATGAGAAAAGGAAAAATACACAGAATTTTTCTATATGTTTATCGTTTTGATTTTAATAAGAACAAATGCAATACAATATCATCAAAGTAAGTGTGTTATTAGAAATCTATGAATGTTTGCATAATTGATGAAAATAGTGTTTTCCTCTTAGTTAAGGAAGAAAAAAACTTTCAAATTATATTTTGATCTCAGAAGAGTAGTTTAGGATAATGCTATCCAATATTTAACCTTATTCAATATTCAATGAATTTAAAAAAAAAAGTTTCTTAATAAAAGAAAAGAAAGAAATCATAAAAATCCTGAATGTATGACTAAGGCCTCACGGGACAGACCTTACTGTCGGGAGTGCTTGGCCGATCTCTCTGAACCTTTCCCGATCCGTAGGACTCTGTTACGAACGTATACGACTGCGTTCAGACAATAATAGGACATTCCAGATCATTGAGGATACCAATCTGACTTTTTCACTTTTCGTTTCGTCTCAAACGGGAGCCATAATCGGCACTATGTGAACGCGGCATTAAAGAATGAATTCATGGTCTCCATTCCATTGAAAAAATATGCTGCTTTAAGTTATTTAACCCTTTCGCGTTCTGAGTCCATAAAGGTTGCAACTCTTGACGTCGTTCTCGCTTTTGTGTTTTGTCAAAACATAAATGCGGCAATTGATATAGAGAAAATCAGGAAATCACTAGGCTTAAGAAATAACCTTACATGTACACATTCGTAAACTGTTTTTCTTTTGTGTTGCTCTGTATATTGGAATACAATTTAGCACATGTATATCATATATGTTTCGAACTCTATGGTCACGACTCTCTCTATTTCAGTACTCTATCATCGTTCTGATTCTGGTGGTGGCTCAACCTGTTGCGCTGATCATGCTTCCGATAGCCGATGCCAATCCTGTAAGTAATGGCCACCTCTGTATACATGTCGCCACCTTGTGGATATGTATCACACCTCTGTAAATGTCGTCATTTAGTGGGTATTACTCCATCATTGTAAATAAGTTGTGGTGAAGTGTCATCACCCTACCCATGTAACTACCGATACCTGATTATAATCTACCCCTTTTACTGTCGCCACCTGGTGGTTATTATCTACCCATGTAACTGCGCCACCTGGTGGTTATGATATACCCCTGTTACTGTCACCACCTGGTAATTATAATACAACCCTGTTACTGTCGCCTACTGGTAACTATAATACACCCCTGTTACTGTCACCACCTGGTAATTATAATACAATCCTGTTACTGTCGCCACCTTGTAATTATAATACCCCCCTGTCACTGTCACTACCTGGTAATAAGTATACATCCCTGTTACTGTCGCAACCTTGTGATAAGTGTACACCCCTGTTATTGTCGTCACCTGGTTACTTTAATGCACCTTGTTACTGTCACCACCTGGTGATTATAATAAAACTCCTGTTACTGTCACCACCTGATGATTATAATAAAAACCCTGTTACTGTCACCACCTGGTAATTATAATAAAACCCCTGTCACTGTCACCACCTGGTGATTATAATAAAACCCCTGTCACTGTCACCACCTGGTGATTATAATAAAACCCCTGTTACTGCCACCACCTGATGATTATAATAAAAACCCTGTTACTGTCACCACCTGGTAATTATAATACAACCCTGTTACTGTCGCCACCTTGTAATTATAATACCCCCCTATCACTGTCACTACCTGGTAATAAGTATACATCCCTGTTACTGTCGCAACCTTGTGATAAGTGTACACCCCTGTTATTGTCGTCACCTGGTTACTTTAACGCACCTTGTTACTGTCACCACCTGGTGATTATAATAAAACCCCTGTTACTGTCACCACCTGATGATTATAATAAAAACCCTGTTACTGTCACCAGCTGGTAATAATCATGATACAATAAATATACATATACCACCATCTTGTGGTATTGTTAAATATAAACTTCATTTTTTACAAGAATTATTAAACAGGTTTTTTCAGCTCACTGTTAATTCGTATTTATCACTCTTACTGAGTCCGAAGGAAGCGTGCAGATAGGCTTAATTTTGGAGGAAACTAGAGTACCCCGATGATAACCCACCAATACGGGTGGGTAGACGTTATCATTATGTCAGATAGGTATGTACTGGGGTTACTGGGGTTACAGACATATTAGAAACCCAAAAGTAAGGGAAAGTATTTTTTGATATCTGTAAAAGCCAGAACACCCTTCAATATATCCACTCAATAAACCTGACCTAGGAAAGGAAATACCAAGTTTCAGTTTTATATTAGATCGTACGTATCAGACGTGAAGCAGAGAAAAGAAACACGGGAATGCCGAAGTGTCAACAAAACCACAGTTCGAACAGAAATCGATAAACCTAGAGCAAACTATAAAACTAGGGAAAAATATTAAATTAGGGCAAACTATAAAACTAGGGCAAAAAATAAAACTAGGGCAAACTATAAAACTCGGGCAAACTATAAAACTAGGGCAAACTATAAAACTAGGGCAAAATATAAAACTAGAGCAAGCTATAAAACTAGGGCAGGCTATAAAACTAGGGCAAAATATAAAACTAGGGCAAAATATAAAACTAGAGCAAACTATAAAACTAGGGCAAACTATAAAACTAGGGCGAACTATAAAACCAGGGCAAACTTTAAAACTAGGGCAAACTATAAAACTATGGAAAAAATAAAAAACTAGGGCAAACAATAAAATTAGGACAAAATATATAAAACAGGCAAAATATAAAACTAGGGCAAAACGTGAACAAATATAATTTACAGGGAGAAACTTGTAAAAGTACGACGAGAATAAGCCCAGGTGTTCTGGTGACAACACAACCAATAAATGAATATTATCAAAAGCATGGCCCTTCATATCACAAAAATAAGATAATTACCCTGCTCTTTGTTCTAACAGATCTTGGGCACGCTGCGCAGTATCTTAGAGGACAGTTTCAGTAGTTTCCAGGGAATGGCTGGAGGAACAGATGACGACAATGCCTGGACATTTGTCATGTGGAAGGTAAGCATTAAGATACACTTGTATCATGGTATTTATCACGATCGATAATATAGGGGTTACGCTCATATTTCTTCTCTCAGCACCCCTGTTATATGTCAAAGCAAACTTTAAGGCACGCAGCTAACCATTATATTGGTCTGACTAACCATCGGTAGGCCGATACCCGTAGTTTGAAGACTACAGAAGAGCGACACCCGATTTCAAAGCCAGTCAATTTTTCCGTTATGCGACCGAGATTTTTTTTAGATGGACATCAAGGATCAAACTAGATTCACCCACAAGGTGTTTACACTAAGCCTTCGATTTTGTCATAGACATATCCCAGGGGTCGGAGATAAAATCGGCAGTAAGCGTAGCCCTAGAGTATCGAGGGAGAGTATTCCATATGTATGACCAAATATGTTTACTCCTACATAACGCTATGCTGTGGACGTTATTGAGGAATCTTGAATTAAATGGTACGATATAATATATCCATTCAATGTTTGATTAAAATGTCTCCGATTCGGACGTTATCTTGCCGAGCTCCTAAGTATATGAATTTCCTTGATTTCTGAAACCAAGTAGAGGCTTACATTTATGTAACAGGTCAAACATTGAAATATAAAAGTTGAAATAAAAAGTGAGACGGAACTATTAAGGTTTTTGCATTACCTCCAACACAGCAGTCACAGTATTTCCGTTTTATAAAGTATATATTGCAATTTCTACTCCAGTTGGCCTCAATGCAACTACAAAATGTTACCTGTTTCATTTGCCGGTGAAATTGACCAGATTAACATTGTCTGTGCGTATGAATTCATATATATTTGCGAAGGGAGATAACTATTGGCATCTTTAAACAAAGAAGATACAGTTTGTATGAAATTTCACATTTTTATTGAAGCAACACAAGTGTTCAAGCAACTAAAAACGATCAATCAGCAAATAGTATCAGCTGTTACTAGCAGTAGTGACAAGTCATGTACTGCCCTAAAAATGATCCACCCAGCTACCCCAATTTGCCTCTTGTGTCAGTGTAAACCCCCGGTACAGATCGAAAACAAAATGGACCACTCATCCATGTAGTCCTGTCATATATGAAATGCAGTCAAACAGCAAACTGTCATATCAAATTGTTTCGTCCGCTCAAGCCACGTCTGAGTTCCTGTCTAATTCGACATTCAATTACTGCAGCTTCACATTCCAGAAGATGTAGAACCTCGAAATTTAGCGGCTCTTTACTTCGAGCTAGTAAAACGCTGGCGGCCGTTGACTCGCAACTGAGCCTTAGTGATGACGCGTCAGAAAGTTCAATATATAAACGTTTGAATATGTCAACAAAAAAATATTTAGAATATGTTTCTGTGTTTTGTTTCTTCATAATTTGGTTGTATTAAACTATCAACGTACACCATCATGTAGTATGACGGTCCTTCAATGACGGACTATATTTTTTACATTACGTCATACTTAAATTTGCACAAGCTCCAGAATCTGGGACAAACGATCAGAAAAGACTTCCAAGTTCCAATTATTAAAAAAAAAAAACATTGATTGAAATTTAAGGTTTGAATCTTTCTTTGGTGGATTTCATGGGGTGATGAATTCTGTTGGTATTGAAACAACTTCAACATTAAGTGTTTCGCAGTTTATTAAATTTGTTTCAATACCAACTTAGTTCATCACCCCGTGAAATCGACCAAAGCAAGATTTAATCCTTAAATGGATTATTATTTGAATATTTGCGTACATTACCCAGAAGTGAATCATTTGAAACAAAGCTCAGGTTTGTATTACCCACTCCCTTATCGCTGGCGCCTACCCGCAGTTTATATATTCAAAGCCATACAAATGAAAGGTTCTGGGAGCATCCTATCTGTGAAAACAACAGTGGATGCAAGTTTTCACTAGTGATTTGACAAAAAAGTTTCTAGAGAAGCTGATATAAGCGATAACAAATAAAAGATAAAAGTTGTTATCGGTTGTTTTAGATGTCTTACAATGAAGATAACAGGTACAAATTTCTATCAATAGTTTTGTGAGAAATTCAAACGATAATAGGTAATCAAACATTGTCGGTGAAACTGACAATCGCCCTAGATAACCAATGCTATCCCTGTACAGTGATATCAAACATTAAGGAGAACCTGACAACGATTGAAATCGGGGTTTCGTGCTTTCAAGCGACTTGGAGGAAACTGAAAGGGGCATCAACCGTGTTATCCATAACATGTGCATCCAAATGTTTTAAAAATGGCTTACGTCATAGTCTATGGATATATTTAGTGGGTTTCCTAATTTGAATATATTTTGATAACATAGTTTATGACATTAAATGTTTCTGCATTCTAAATACTCTTACAGGGAAACATTCATACCTGTAATGTGGAACAAAGATAATGATAGGATGAAAACAACTGTTACAACAGGGAAGCCTACATTGGATACTACATAGCATTCACGCTCACAAAATAAGTAGAGTGACGTAGGCAATCGTAGAAAACCATAAGAAGAAAAAACAGGAAATATATGATACAAGAAAACATAATTTCACTGAAATTACTATAGTTTAATTTTAAAAAGTGAGCAGTTTGCATTAGAACAAAAACACACCTAAACATCATAAGCCCGTAGCTTACATCTGAATACAGCTGAACTGTGTGTAAATGAGTGTGGTGTGACGGCATTGCCGTGACATGGTCCATTATATATGGACAGCGCAACACAAGTTGATTTGAAATGAAGTTAAAACAATACCGATCAACCAGCTCCCTAACAAGTCTGTATGTGTTTTTCCCAGAACACTTGCTGTGGTGTGGAAGGTTACAAACTGTCGGAGGCGTTCCTGCAAACGTTGTCATCGACAAAGTCGTGTTGTCCGCCGGCGAAGGTCCTGTTAGACACGTGTACTAAGGCTGATATGTACGAAATGGTAAGTAAACCGTTATTGCCGGAAATTGTACCATCTTTTGCCATTATATGTCGCTCTTTTGTTTGCATATCGGAGGTTATCATTCAAATTCGTTGTATCAGTATTTTGTAGATCTTCACGACACACGTAGAATGTTTAGAATTGAAGGACAACTTCTCATTGGCTTAAGCACAAATGTTATTTGGTAGATTTTTAGGTCACCTGAGCTTTAGCTCAAGTGACCTATTGCTATCCGTTTTCGTCCGTCGTCGTCCGTCGTCCGTCGTCCGTTAACATTTTACATTTCAAACTTAAAGTCAAGTTCTGCTGGGCCGATTGAACTGAAAGTTGGTAGGAATGATCGCCTCATGGTCCTGACAAAGTGTTGTTATTTTTCGGGTCGATCAGAAATCCAATATGGCCGCCACGGCCGCCATTTTGAAAACCTATTTCAAACTTAAAGTCAAGTTCTGCTGGACCGATTGAACTGAAAGTTGGTAGGAATGATCGCCTCATGGTCCTGACAAAGTGTTGTTATTTTTCGGGTCGATCAGAAATCCAATATGGCCGCCACGGCCGCCATTTTGAAAACCTATTTCAAACTTAAAGTCAAGTTCTGCTGGACCGATTGAACTGAAAGTTGGTAGGAATGATCGCCTCATGGTCCTGACAAAGTGTTGTTATTTTTCGGGTCGATCAGAAATCCAATATGGCCGCCACGGCCGCCATTTTGAAAACCTATTTCAAACTTAAAGTCAAGTTCTGCTGGACCGATTGAACTGAAAGTTGGTAGGAATGATCGCCTCATGGTCCTGACAAAGTGTTGTTATTTTT